TCTTATCTTATCTTATCTTTCTTACTGATGGGCCCGAGTGCTCGTACCACTTGCGCGCAATCATCGGGACGTGAGGGTTTGCAAGGTCCCCCATGACACCGTGATTATAACTTGAATGCCTCCCTTGAGTCGGAGGACATCATTATTATTATTTTTTTTTTCTCCCTTGTGGAGCTTGAGTTACCTCCCTTGTGGAGGCTGGTATGGCACTCAACTGAGATTAGTCTTATAAGTTCCTCTTGACTTATTAAGGTGTATGCAATATGACCTAGCATAGCATACTATATCATGTACTCGAACACATATAATTCGGGTGTACTGCCTAAGTGTATGTAGTATAACATAGCATAGCATTCATAACATTAAATGTACTCAAACATATATAGTTCATGTGTACTGTTTACTTTAAAATCTATTTATACTGTAGGCGAGATTCCTACTTACCTGATTTTCAAAGCTGGAATCCTATTTTTGCCTATCAGCCTAGTCTCTTACTTTCTTCTGGAAATAAACACCCATTAAGAGTGTGAGATCAACTATTATTTGCTATTCTATTTTAGCAACTTATGAAGAAAAATATAAACCCTTTCCATAAGGCATATATTTTTTTGTTTACTAAAGGATAATAAAGATTAATTTATTAAATCTTCAAAATCTTATTTTTCTTAATTTCCCTTGCTACGCTATTAAGGTCCAATTCAACCTAGGACTTATACATGGTATTTTAACTTTTACGCCGCTGAAATTTATACTCCAACGGAGTCTCTTAAACTAATGTGGGCGTTGGACCCACATTAAATCTTCAAAATTCTACGGACCTATCGTATTGGGCTCGTAGGTGCCCGTCGGGATAATTCGCTCGGTAACCCACTATGTTCTTTAAAGAAAGTATTTTCTCTTGAAAACTTCCTTTATGAATACTTTCATTAAAATGAGGTTTAATGTCATTGTGTTTTACTGAAATTCTATCTCGGGTTCTTTTATAACTTTTTGTTGAAATCGACACTGTTTTATTTTTGTCTCATTAAAAACTGTGCAGTTTCTGAAATATGCATTTTACTGTATTTTAGAGTGGGATTTCAAAATTTTGTTATTCATGAAACCTCCTCGTCTTGTCGAGATCTAAAATTTTTGTTTTTGGTGAAAGTTGAAATTCGGCCTCTAAAGGCCTCGTTTGGCTGAAAACCGTAGCCGCTGTTTTTCCTGAAACTGTTTTAGTCAAAAACTGTGCCGTTTTGGGAATCTGTGTTTTAGTACCTCTTAGGGTCGGATTTTGAAAATATTTTCTTCACGACATTTCTTCATCTCATCGAAATCTAAAATTGTTACTTTTATGAAAAATCAAGATTCAGCCTCTAAGAGTCCCGTTTGGCTGAACCAGTGGCTGCCAGTTTTTTTTTGAAACTGTGTTGGACAGCTTGTCCGTTTTTACAAAAATGACTTCAAACTTGGTTTTAGAGTAAAAATAGATTTTTTCATAATAACCGAAAAAGTTCAAAAC